TGCTATTCTGTTAACGCGTCACCAAGCGTTTACCTTCAAAGCCGATACTTTGGGCGTGTGTCTTCACACTGAACACAGCATCAAACTTAGAGACAATATACCCGTGTCATCGAGGCCGTACAGGTGCTCACCGGCTGATCGCAAGTTCATCTGTGAACCGGTGAATGACTACCTCTCCAAAGGCTTCATATTAAGGCTGAACGAAAGCGAATACGCTGCTCCCACGATTGTCGTCGACCAACCGCCCCACCCGACAACTCCACGAAGAATGGTACACGGCTTTCGCAAGCTTAACGATAAAACCATCAACCCTTCTTATCCCATGCTTGTCATGGAACACGTGATTGACGATGTCATGCGTGACGGATCGGCTTACTTCAATGTGTTGGACGTGAAGACTACATTTCTGACGATACGAATGAAGCCGGACGATGCCCACACGACTGCATTCGTCACTCCAAATGAAAAGTACGCACACTTTCGATTGGCCTTTGGGTTTTTCAGTGCCCCTCAAACCATGCAAAGAGTCATGCGTCGCACGTTCGATGGCTTACATAAGACATCTACGTACATGGACGATGTCGGGTAGGGAGCCACAACAGTGAGGGAGGCTTTAGATATGCTGAACGAAGCACTAAGGAGAGTCGTAATCAACGGCTTGAAGATGAATCTCCGAAGGTGCCAGTTGATTGAAGACAAAGTATCTTTCCTGGGTTACATGATCTTCACCGAAGGATGAACACTGGACGAATCCAGAGTTGCCGCTCTCGAGAAGTTCCAGCCGCATCGCAACGCAAAAAAGCTGTATTCCTTCCTGCAGTTCACTAACCACTACCGAAAGTTCAAAACGGAGTTTACTAAAGTGATGCACAAGCTACGGCAGCTTCTGGCTAAGGGCGTTCCTTTCGTATGGACCGACGCTCACGAAGGAGTCGTCAACAACGTAAAACACGCCCTGAAAAACCCACCAATTTTGACCAGCTTCCGCCCAGACTGCTTTACTAACGTTCACGTCGACGCTTCGCAAACCGGGCTGGGTGTGGTCCTTTCTCAAATTCAAGACGGAAAGGAGCGAATCATAGAGTACGCCAGCAGATCACTAAACGAGCACAATCGTGGTCTACACTCTAACATGAGAGAGTGCATGGCGCTACACCGGGCAAGATCAACAAAAACATTCGTCAACATGGAGCAGCTTCGTAGATATAGGGAACCGCTCTTAGAAGTTACGGAACCACCGCCATCGAACGACACGTGTGCCTGAAGACAGGCTCAATTTTCGGGAGGGCCATGTCAGCACCACTCGACTTCACACAGCCAGATTTCTCGGCAGCGTCTCGGCGCCCGCACAAGAAACGCCACATTACGTAAACGTGGACTCCGAGCCCTGAGCGCGTCCGCTCAGCGGGGTTGCCATGAAGCGTTGCTTCGACGATCATTCAAAAAGAACAAAAGTGAGCTGGTGAGCCGGGAACACATAGCAACGCATCGCCTGCAAGGAGAGTGAGCCGAGACACGAGTGACGTCGGACGTAGCCGATCTAGCTCCAGCACCGAATCTCCTTTCCTCTACATGTAACCACTGCCGATTCACTTGTAACTTCAGTACAATACAGTTTACTTCTTATAACCGAACCTTGCCTTAACTCTATCATTCACCTATCGCTGACACCGGAATCAATGTGGATTCTCAAACCACGGCGTGCCTCCTAATGATATGATGGTTTTGGCACGTAAAACATTATGTCCTTGCATGCGCCCGAGCAACGGGCGATATACAGCTGCCGCTATGAAAACGAGTTTTAAAAAAAAGAACCAAGACAGATGAAAACTTTTCCATGGTTTTGGAAAGCTTGATGTGGTTATCAGGGGCAAATCTTGGCGTAACCAGAAGCACGCTCGATCCTAGTGGCTATTGTCTGACATGACGACGACCAAGATAGCTATCAAAACAACCTAATCGACATTCGAATAAGTGAATACGCTACGTAATCTAGCGTAGATGTCACGCGCTATGAAACATGCGCTGCAAGAAACATGCATGGTCGAAGTTGACAGAAGAAAAACCTTTTTGTTCGCTGATTGATATGTGGGGTTTAACGTCCCAAAACCACTATATTATTATGAGAGACGTTGTAGTGGAGGGCTCCGCTAATTTAGACCACCTGGGGTTCTTTAACGTGCACCCAAATCTGAGCACACGGGCCTACAACATTTCCGCCTCCATCGGAAATGCAGCCGCCGCAGCCGGGATTCGAAACCGTGCCCTGCGGGTCAGCAGCCGAGTACCTTAGCCACTGGATCACCGCGGCGGGGCACCTTTTTGTTCGCATCATCATACTTTCAAAAAAAAAGCTACAAAAACAAAGTGTCATTGAACTTACGATACGAACTTGTTAACATCCCATGAAAACATCGGCAATAGTTAAACTCTTATGATACTCAACAATCCACATTGAAATGGTGCCAGGGACTGAACAGGGCAGACGTAACTTTAGTCTCTTGACACTGCCGTACTAATAATTTGAAAGCCGCGTGACAAACTTCGCATTCAAGCAATAGAAATCCGGACGCTATATACAAATGCACGCTAAGGCATGGTGGTAGTTTGCCGACAGTTCCGAGAAGACAAAAATGCCGCAGTAAATGCGCGTTTTACCGGTAACATCTACATAGTGAATTCGCTCCGATGGAGGCGGAAATGTTGTAGGCCCGTGTGCTCACATGTGGGTGCACCTTAAAGAACCCCAGGTGGTCGAAATTTCTGGAGCCCTCCACTACGGTGTCTCTCATAATCAAATGGTAGATTTGGGACGTTAAACCCCACATATCAATCGATTCTTATGACTTTTTTTGTAGATTGATGCATGTTTCTGAGCGTCGCGGCGACTTGAATTTTTCCTCGTATCCTTCTGGGCATGCATGTAAATGGTGGTAAGGAATGCTTAGCGTTTCAAAAATGATTCTCCCCGTGATCGATCACTCTAAAATTTGGTGCAAACGCAAGGCACACCATGGTGACCACCTGGTGGTGCTTCATTGAGCTCGATAAGCTTGTCGTGCGCGTTGAACTTAGGATTGTTGGCCTCTATATATTGATTACAGAGAGCATGGCCGCAGAGCAAGAAGAAGTTGTGCGATGGGCAGCATCCCATCTTCCCAAGACAATGTGTAACAGGGCAAAATAGATGAATGACTGAACAAAACACACACACACACACACACACACACACACACACACACACACACGCTCATGTGTGGGCCTCACTCGTTTTGTTTTTCTTTTTAGCGTATTCATCGTTTCACGGAACCAACTATTCTACACTATCAAACTATTGCAGTCGAATATTGGTAAATTGATAACTTTGCTTACCCCAGATTTCAAAGCCTTAAATTATTTGGTATCGCTGTGACGCGACTACATAATAACATCAATGTAAATTTATAAATATTGGTATGCTTTTTTTTTCTGAAGCGCACACTGCTTTTGTCCTTAATTTTCAAGTAGCATACCAAGTTTTTGGATTTTTAGCATCACATGCGTCATAAAAATGGCTTGTGAAAAGTGAAAAATAACACAATCGTATGGTCGATGAGATAGATTTTCACAAAGGGTGATTTTACGCGAAAAAAAAACACTTAACCGCCTACTTAAAATAAAATTACTGATGAACGTTTTATACATGCTTCAGGGCACACATTAAAATTTATGAAGTGTAATCCGGGAATTTCAGGAACTTGTCACCTCTGAACAAAATTTCTGGGGCAGACGACGTTTGATATATGAATCCGCCAGAGTTTCTGACAAAATGCACGCACTTTCTTTGTAGTTTTGTCTGTTTATGCATGAAAAATTGGCGTTTTGTTTAAAAAATTTTGGTGGTCAACAGGGCACTTTTGACTCAATCTTGATAATTTGGGGACGAATACATCAAAATCCTAGCTGACTTTCGATAGAATAGCATGCATTGTGAAGTAATTGACTCGCATTTAAACTTCTTGAATTTCAGTTAAGTCGATTATGTATTCAAATGTTGCGTGTCTATTATATGTTTGCCGAGTGTACTAATTGAGCTTGAAACGTCAGTTCATGTCATCTGTTAATGGAGCGTTCTGGTTTTTCAAAAAAATAAACATGCCTCTAAATTAGGTATAGCGCCTCATCTTTCGCACAGGCGTGAGAGTACAGTTGCTCTGATTTCGGAGCTGACATCTAAAAATTGCTCAACAAAGTGGTGAATCGCCCGCCGTTGTGAGTTGGGAGTTTTTGTATTGCATTACTAAACACGGGCATACAGGAATTTATTCATTCAGTCTGCCACGGCTGTGGTCCTTGATTGATAAATGGGGCTCAACGTCCCAAAACCACCATATGATTATAAGAGACGCCGTAGTGAAGGGCTCCGGAAATTTCGACCACCTGGAGTTCTTTAACGAGCACCGAAATCTGAGCACACGGGCCTACAACATTTCCGCCTCTATCGGAAATGCAGCAGCCGCAGCCGGGATTCGATCCCACGACCTGCGAGTCAGCAGCTGAGTACCCTAGCCACTAGACCACCGCGACGGGGCAACAGCTGTAGTCCTTCGGGTACGTAATGCGAGAGCGTCCATGTACGTAACGTGCCTTTTCGGCGACAAAAACTCAGCACGTGGGCGCCTTTGGCTTATCAAGAGGCAGCCGCGAATGCTTACAGCCGACTGTGAAAATGTAGCCGAGCCTTGCTAATCACGTGCAGCAGTTTGCTTCTTTGTGCATCGGTATATCTTATCGGCTGCAGTGCACAGTCAGTTTCTGCTCTTTTTTTGAGGCACCGTCCTTCGGTAGCCGTCTATGCTTAGTCTACGTACGGCAACGTTTAGCATGGCACCGGTCGTCAAAATTTTGCTGTTGCAGTGTCAAAGACGGTCAGTTCATATAGTTTGGGTGAATTTGAATCCACGTTTAGGTGAACGAATCATCCAAAATATGCATGCCACGCGTGAAAGGAACAAAATAGATTTCAGTGCACAAACACATTGAACTGTTTATTACGTTTTTTCTGTGTACCTCACCAGCTGATGGCGAGCAATATTTTGTCATATTCCTGGGTTGGGAAAAACATGTCATAGATACTTTACATCTCAGAAGTGCACAGCCCCTAGAATTTAATGGTCGTGCTCATGGTGGGCTTCGGGGTCGCAGGCAGTGGCTGCGTCGTGGATTTCTTTGATTTGCTCGTTCTGTAAAAAAGATTATTGTTCGGATTAGTTATTTTCCTTACTGCAAAAAACGCGACCATTGTATCCGACGTAGGTACTATCGGCGTCAAATGAAACCCGAACAGCGGTGCGCGTGTTTCAAGCATTAGAAAAAGCTTAGAGTTGGCCGTCCAGTCATCACCATTGACAGGCGTGAACATCCGGTTTGGCAGCACTGCGCGACCCCCTGAGTGCGTTATCTTCGTTTCTGGTCTAGTTTTCGTATCGTGACAATGGTGGAAAACGTGGCCGTGCCAAGCGCTTTTGATCGTATCACTCGCAATTCCTTGCTTTTACTGCAGCGTGGCAGTCAATCGGTGTCTTGACACGTTAAACAAAAACAGAAATATAATCGGTTTGCGGTTCATTTTCAAACAATGGTCGCATCTCATTTGCCAGCGCTGCTTCACCTGCACCCTTCTTTCTGTGACCGACCAGAAAAGGCTTCATTTTAACTGGAAATGCCGAGCGTTTCTTCGGAAGAGAGAGCGCAAATCGTCTCGCTTTACCGGCACTAAGTGAAACAGCGTGAAATTGCCAGCATTTTGAACCGAGTTATGTCTACTATAAATAAATTTGCCAGGCATTCCGTTATGGTGGACTCCGTGATGACAAACCGTGCTACAATACTCGCCTTCGGCTGCAGTAGTTTAACCTCTGTATTTATTTATTTTGTTCCTTGTTCCTTTCAAATACCATTACAATACTTGGAACACAAGAAGAAATATTGCACTATAGGGGGATCGCGCAGTGCTGCAACACCGGATGTGTGGGCCTGTCTATGTCAATGATTGGTGGACGGCGCGCCCTATGCCGTGGACAAGGGTTCTGCCACGCGCTCCGCTGTTCGCGTTTCATGTGATGCCGATAGTACACGCCCGTGACGTTAAGCCAGTTTGAGGGTTTACACTCTACATATAAGCGGCAATATCACTGTTTAAAACTATGCATAGAACACTATGCATAGAACACTCCTCACTTAGCTAGCTTCTTCAAGCAGTAGAGCTTTTTTTGTTAGTTCTAATAAAGATAGTCCCTCAACAAACCTGAATCAGGACGTAGATGAACGTTAGCGTGTAAATAAATCAGTTTCGTGAAATTATTTCGTTACACTGTTCACATCGCGTAAATAATAATGTCTTAAGCCGCATCGTTGGGGGTGACGTTTTTATAAGTACAGTGACGCGGTGAAGTGAAGTGATTTTATATCCCTCCCGGTGGGCGCTTACCCCGAGCTTTTATTTCTATTTCTCGTTCAACTCAGTTGTCTCGGAAACACCGACACTCTTCAGGCTCACAAGGAATAGAGGTGAGTTATAGGATACGCTGATAAATTTCATTTCCTAGGACGTATGCACAAAGAAACTAAGAAACGGTATACTTACGGTGAAGTAAACGGACATCGCTTGTTCCTGTGTGGAAAGAGAAAACGAAAGAAAGCAGATACAACTTGAGTCTTTGAGGACAGTTCTCGTGAAGGTTTTGTGAAAATCTTGATACTACTCCGCGTTGATCCTATTTCCCATGTACTATGTCTTCAAAAACTTGGTGGCCCAACTCACTCATACTTTCATTAGTAGGTGTCCACTGCGATCGTCCTTTACGGTGCTGATGGTATGTCGTTACGAAGACGAAAGATTTATTGACTCGCCAATGTAAGATAACCGGCCAATGATGGGAGAGAAAGGCCTCACGAGATAATTCTGCGAATTTGGTCGTTACTTTAGAAGCAGGAAAACTAGGAGGAATGCACAGTTGTTTGGAATATAAAATAGGCAAGGAGTATCGACGAGCAAGGCGGTCCACACGAAAGTTATTTTGCCTCAGATTGATAATCGATTTGCTGGAGATCGCGAACTAAGAACATGTCAAAACGGTGGTTTTTTAATTTTATTTTTTGTTTAGAAGTAGATTTGAAAAAAAAAATGATAATGCTAGAACACAGTTGTGCCATCATGGTTGATAGCAAACATGATTTTAGGATATCCTACCTCAAAATTAGAGAAAAATTCAGGATGCAGCACGAACAGAAAACGAAGATTCACAGAAAAAGATGAAGTGAAATAAGTACACACCAGGTTGTTTGTGGCACACATTTTGCGGTAGGCACAAGCACGGTTGAGGCAGTTCAGTTGTTGCACGGCATTGTCGAATGCGGCGTTGGTCTGTAAAAATAGTGAAGTTTTATCTCAATGAATGCGACACAGACATGACTCTGATAGCGACTTCACTTGTAAAACCAGCAGAAAAAAAGTCAATAGAAGGATAGGTAGCATCATCTCCAGTGTTTGAAATGGTGATGACAATTAGCTAAACTGAAATTAATTAAAGTGCCTTAATAAGCACCCTCTCCATCGGTGGGACCCGAACCGTCAAGGTCCGAATTATCTGTTTGATGCTCTATACCTACTGAGCTACGACAGAGAGCGTTCGCTGCTTCACTTCGTTAGGTATACGTGTGCGTTTATTCTCTGAGACGGTTAGCCATCGTCGCTCATGGCCAAGGCGGCGAGAGTGGAATAGTTTTTTTTTTTTTCTAGAGAAGGGGCGTCACGGGAGAGGGATCTTCACATGAGGTAACAAAGAAACAAGCTCCTCGAACAGTTTGTCTTCTTTCGTTCATCTCGTATAGTCACAGAGTTGACACCGATGACACCTCAAGGTACGCAAACAATTACCGAGAAAAGTTTTTACACTAGAGTTGAAGAAAACCGTTATTTGAAAGTCACCGCAGTCGCATTGGCTAAATTAAGTTATGTGGTCAATATGGCGACCAGTGGTTGTGCGAAGAAACGTTATGAAATTAGTACCTTACGCCACGGAAATGGCGTCGTGTTTTCTAAAGGTAAACCACTTCATTACTGGTTAGACCCTTAAAATGTGAAAATAACGGTTTATCAACTTTTATCAAACATCTATGAAGATTCCATGTACCCTATACCATAGAGTTTCTCAAAATTAACTAGAAGGCACTCTGGCACTGCGATCGTTCAGTGACCATGGGAATGATGGGTAGTACACACATTTGCCTAGTCTTCATACTTGCGGGTGGCGAATCGTACTTGCGGCTTCGTTTATTGCTGGTTACGGTTTTGTTTTGAAACAAAAAAGCAAATCCTTTTGAACTTAGTGACTTGATTCAAAATGATAAGCCTGAAAAAATAAGGTTGTGAAGCGCGAACGGTGAACATTTGCTAATTTATGTTTTCGTAAAAAAACAGCTCCAAGCCACACGACCACACACGGAGCCAGAAGTACGAAAATTAGACGCTGAAGCGCCGTGTGTTGAAGCTCCCAAAGACACTAGCGACGGAGTTCCCTCTAGTGTATATCAAGAAACTCCATGCCCTATGCGACTAATACTCGCTCAGCATGTTCGATCCCTTACGTATAAGGGAAACCCTGTCGATATTTATCAAACTACGTTTTACCGAGAATACGGGTACATCTAGCACGTTGTGACCCCTTCCTCAAGCTGTATACACAGTGGCGCTGCTAACAACCGGTTTTTCAAGCTCTCGTAGCGCTCAGTTTTATAAAACGACGCTCGTACTGAAACACAGTGCTACGTTTTAAAGATTTGGCGTACACCTTTCCACAGAGAATCACTAAGGTGTCTATTAGCGTTAAAGCTAACGCTTCAACTGTCTGCTGCTTTTGATTGCTTAAGTATGCTAATTAAATTTGTACAGAAGGAGTCTAAAGTTGCTCTTTTTGGTGTCACTAGAAGCGTTAAAAGGAACAAAAAAGGCTCTGTTTTTTTTTTTGACGGAAAAAGTAATTTACCTAGATGAAGGACTGAAGAAGAACCTTACCTCTGGACTAATACGCAGCCTAATGCATTCCAGTTCCGTTACCAATGCGTCGTCACCCTTTGCTGCAACAAGAAAAAGAAGGAATCAACAAGAAATAACGTGTGTTGTGTTACAATAACACGCCTTGAGAAGAATAGCGTTTTTATGCGAAGCTAATACTATTCTTCTCTATTGATCAAAATAATACACAGCTGGGCCAGAAAGTAAAACATTATTTGCATGTTTTCTTGCCATGCAGCGCACAAGATGCAGGGGCTGTTGCAGATTGGGCCCTGACAGCAGATTATTGCAGATAATTGCATAGTGGGCTCTGACCAGCACTCAGTTTTCCAAACAGATCCGCTAACAGGAGCGTTATGCTTAGGGCACTAGATGATTGGCAATATTTCACTAGATACCGCACATATTCAATTAGTGAACTTGAGTATATCACAGCCCAAAATACTTTTGCGCGTAATTGGGATGCAATAAACGATGCATGCAGATTATTATTTTCCTGCACGCACTTGCAACATTGTAAAAATTTCAGGTACCACTCGCAAAAACTTAATCATCCTGCTAAGAGGTGGTCACCAGATTTTTTAAAATTAGGCTATCAGCATGGAGCACAAAAACGTAGTGAGGGTGACAGGCATTCAACTCACTCTCCTCGATAGTTTGTTCCATGCGCTGGATAGTTTCAAAATGGCTCCGAGAAAAACAGCGCGTTCGACTATTCTTTTTTTTTTCTTTTTTGTCACGTATACGTGATAAAAATGAAATAGCCAACCCAACCATATAATAGCATAATAGCCAACCCAACCATATATGGTTGGGTTGGCTATTACAACAGTCACTGAAAAATTGGACCTGCAGTCAGGGTCAAAAGTTTGGAGACCACGAGACGCGAGTGTTAACATTCTCGCTCCTTATGCAGGCAGCCTTTAATCTAGATTTCCGGCTGGTCTAAAACGCGCTACCAACATGTGCTGTGAAATCAGACTGAATGCCCTCGCAAATCTCTGGAAATTTAAAATATCTCAGACTTAGTGGTCTCTAAACTTTTGACGTCGAGTGTATAGCCTGACACATACCACTCTTATTGCCGTCACACAACACGTAAAACCGCGTCTGTGTGTACAAATGGCTGAGATGCTCACTTCCGCGAGAAATTGGTTGCTTTCAGGTATTAAGTACTGAACGAACAAGGAAAACCCTCATCAACTGATGCGGCTATGCCTATTATGGTATTTTTTTATTTTTACTTGATTTCACTACTTCTATGAATCTTGTTTGATGCAAGCACTGTACACAAATGTTTGTAGGTGCTTTTGAAAGACAAGAAGGAAAGAACTTTTTTTTCCGTGTTGTATGCACGCAGCTTATAAGCGTGTATTGTAGAATTGACAGAGGTACTACGTAGGTTGCCCTCACGCGCCAGTCAAATGCTGTGGTAGTGCGTACAGTGCTCTGGAAAATAAATTTATTATTGCGACACCACACATCTGTTTACCACTACCCACAGCAAACAACGCTCTACTCAAATATCTGGTGTGTTGTCAACAAGTGCAGTCTCCTTTCATGGTTTTCAAACTAACACCGCGAAGATTGCGAGCCACCTGCTGCCTGCTGTCTTTCAACTAAGGGGGCATAATGAATTACACAAATGGTGATACGATAGTTTATGAAGCTTTCGCGTGAGCATTGATCCGCGCAAGATAGGAATCCCCATCCCTACTTACTGCAAAGCTCCTGGTGATGAGCCGAAGTCGAAGCCACAAGGGCGACCACGAGAAGGGCGGACACGAAGATGGCCTTCATGTTGAATGATTGACTAAAGAGTAGCTTATAGCACTTCTACGACTGATGCGAAGGCTTCACTGACTAGGCATGGCCGTCCGAATCTCTTATATACCCACTGGACACACGTGTGTTACCCCGACGTCAAAGCAAGCGCTTGCGGCAGAAAGTGGAAGAAACGAGAGAAAAATACAATGCGCTGAAAGAGTAACGGGCCCTGATTGGGTGAGCCGTTGCGAGAGACACTGTGTTTGGACTCGGCGTTGGCCTCTCCCCCGGTAGCCATCACCTCGACTACCACAACGTACGTGCGATTCCAGCACGCACTGTGGTCACGAGCCGCGCTTAGTCAGCGTTGCCGGGCTCGCGGTGGGGCCGGGAGAGGCGCACCTCCGGTGGGGCGCTTGTCGAGGCCGGCTTCGCACGTTCCCGGTGCGCAAAGCGACTCGGAAATCGTCAAAAAGAAAATGCGCCGTTGCTCGAGACGTCGCAAAGTCTTGCCGGAGGGATCGTGCTCATGAACAGCTTCTCTCTCTCTCTCTGTGTGTGTGTGTGTTTCCTTTTTTCCTGCACTACTCGTGGTCTTGACGTCAGCTATAGGCCGTTGCAGACCAAGCAAAATAGGAGAGACGTGCTGCACAAGGAAGTGCAAGCGACGGGAGAATTTCGGCCGTCGACGGTGTTAAGATGCGATAGATTACATTTGCTCGTTCCCTGGACGCCGTGAAGAAGACGCGACTCTTCCTAGCTCCCTTCGTGGTCGTTTTGGTTTCGAAATGTGCGCGTCTCTGTGTGCGCGCATGGCACCTTTCCATTAGGCTCGCGCTGAAGCAGACAAGACAGGTGCTCCTTAACAGGAACATTAAATGGACTCCTGTTTGATCGCTTAGCTAATAAAACGGCGCGTCTACGAAAGCCACCATCCATGAATAAAGCCCTCAAAATGGTCTCCAAACAGCTCGTGATATTGCGTATCAACACCGCTCAGCACCGCTAAAGTGAAAAGGCTTGTTGTGAGGTCGTGCCAAGCGTAAAGTGTGACCACAAGATGCTCGTCGTGTCTAAACGGTGTTTGCGATTGTTGCTCAATGAGAGTTGCCGCGATTTTAATTGCATTTTTGCACAAGTGCAGACATTAGCCCAGCGAATGAGTTTTAGCAATCTATGTTTTTCTTGCATGACAGCTGAAATGGTTTTTATATTTTTAGTTTGTGAAATTCTACCACATTTTATCACGATGGGGACTGAAATATTGCGCATTTCAGTGACTTGATTTTTGTATCTGAGTTGGAAGCTGGCCCCAGAAGCACAATTTGTATTCCATTACTATCACCCACGACGTCACCTCAAAGTAGTCCCAATCGTTCTGACAAGCCGCATCTGCTTCATGTAGGATTTATTTATTTGTTTATTTATTCATTCAATATTTATTTATTGTGTCACCATCCTTGCTTAACCAATGCACACGTTCTCGGCAAAACACTACGTCACTCGTAAAAACACCAACGCTTAGCGCTTAGAAGCCACTCGCATTAACCTCAGCAACAGGAATTCATGCGTCTTCAAACAAATTCGTCTTATTTCTGCATATAAACCCAATCTCTACTTTTCGGCCCCTCTGAAGGGTGCCTAAATAACGACTTGACGCAATAAAACTGTTAAGTCAACAAAAAAAAAAGATTGCCTTGCGAACAACGTTGCAACCTGAATATGGCCTCCACAGAGATTTCTATACGACATGCCATTACTTTTTCTCATGACCCACAAGCAGGGCCGGAAAGAAGAAGCAGAAGCTCTAAATTAACGAGTGATACAACTGTCACGAAAAAATTCACTTTCGCAGTCATTTCGAGTAGCCAGACTTTGACATTTTTCGGGATCAAGTCACAGGCTACAACCCGAAACTTCTGAGTGGTGACTTTTTCTGAAATCTTCACAATATTTCAGTTTTTAAATTGCACCTGAGCTCATCTCCGGTGCCTTTGAGTGAAATGTCACGCAAGCTTAATCTCCAAAGTTCACTTTCACTCGGATTCAGGCGCCCCAAGAACTGTAGTTTAAATACCTATTATCATGTCTGTCACGTTTGTGGTGCCGTTGCTAAGATGCCGTTGTGTATTATTGGCCATACACTCTCCCAGTTCATGTGGGTGAAAGGAGGACCCGAAGCTTTCATTCTGGTCATTTCGCAATTCAAGATACTCCAACCATACAAACATCAGTTGGCACTATTATAGGCTCGTACGCGTCGTGTATAAGTACTAATGTTTGCTTGGGTTTTGCTTGCTGAAACCCCGCTATGATTGTGAGGCAAGGGTTACGTAAAAAGTTACATATTAAAATTGTAACTTTTGAAACCTTGATGACACACTTGTGTTTTAACGTTTAGCACGAGTTTCGGGTCTCGGTCCCTTTTGAAGTTCAGCCTATTAAATTATATAATTAGCAGAGCTTGAAAAAGACGCTGCGAGTAGAAGTCAATAACAACCTACTGCTACTGTCACAGTATTGAGCTATAACAACGCTAGTTCTCTAACTTTGCCAACATCTTGCAAAGTGTTAAAGGCAACAACGAAATACATACTGTATATTTTACCTGTGTTCGACATGCACACCAGCGAAACCAGGGCGGCTTAAACATGTCACTTTTGTGTAGTTCCCGCCTAATTGATTGATACGTAGGGTTTAACGTCCCAAAACATATGATTATGAGAGACGCTGTAGCGGAGGGCTCCGAAAATTTTGACCGCCTAGGGTTCTTTAGCGTGCACCCAAATCTAGGCCCACAAGCCCACAGCATTTTCGCCTACATCGCAAATGCAGCCTCCGCAGCAGGAATTCCATCCCGCCATCTGCGAGTCAGCAGCCGCACCTTAGCCGCCCGACCACCACGGCGGGGCAAGTTCCCGCCTAATGAAAGTGCCGAAACGTATATTTTTCTATTTACCAAACAGTAGATGATAGCTTGATTGAGCCCTAAAGAAAGTAATTAAGTTACATTGAGCGTGATTAAGAAATACCTACATAATGGTCAGAAAGTGCAAATCATTAGAAATAAAAAATTACTTCTGGTTTTTTTTTTTTTTTGTAGCTCGATCTTCTCGTATCCGTTTAATTAAGTTTAGAAATGTTTTATCTTGCATTTTTGGCTTCTCTCTAGAATAGTCTCGAGTTTCCCCGGGGCTTTTTTAACGAGAAGTCCGCTAAAGCAGTGTGTAGATTTTCGCTCGGTCTCACGTTTCACTTAGGCTGGAGTGTCCTCGTTGGTCGCTTATCGCCTCACTTTTTTTTTCGTGCCCTTGATTTATTTACTTTTACTTTTTTGCCATTATCCCGCTTACTGTTAGTGAAATAGCTTATTTTTCTCAGGAGAAACTGAAAATGCTGCCCCTCAGTGGAGCTTCATAGCTTAATCTTGTGTGATTAGGAAGAGACAGATTTATTTAAAGAAAGGTGGGGAGGTCGGCCTGAGCGATAGTATGTTCTAGCCTGCTACTCTTATTTTACTGCTATAATAAGCTATAGCTAAATCCTGGTTCAGAATTACAGCAATAAAAATATCTCTCAAAGTATTGATCTGAAAGCGAATAACGAATGCCCTGGTTTGAACTACGTTTTGTCGATCTTAACGACGACACAAACTTAACTATCTTGTTTCTTTCATATCGTATAGCCGGCGTCAACTGTAAATGGTGAGTCAGGTAGTTAATAAGTCATTCATTAACCACACAACCTAATCGTTAGGCATGTCGTTTCGTCCTTTTAAAATTGTTTCTAAATTTACTTGTCTGTAGACATTTTCTGACTTGTAAGCGTCAAAAGGATTAAAAAAGTCAGTGCGTTTGGCAATTGAGCGTTCAATTTCACGAAGCGCAGTGTTGTCAAGAAACGAACGCGAAGGAGCATGAGAGGGACTCAGACACGACAGCGAACTGTTTTGCCTATAAAATACGGAGGAATAAAACACACCAGTTCGATGGCCAGTGTCTTTCTCCGGTCACAGCACGAATAAAGTTACAGATCTTGGTTTCTCGGTTATAAAAAGCTCCAAATAGGCGGGTTCAATTCTTTAAGCTCTGATGAACTTATAATCGGTATATTGAAGGCACTTTACAATTGTGTAGCGAATTTGGTAAGGACTTTTTTTTTTCGATATCATTTCGTCGATCTTTTTTTTTTTCTTTCATTTTCACTCACACGCCCGTTTAGTCGTTAGTCGTTGTTGCTTCAAACAGTTTCTCAGTTATGCTCTCGTGTTTTGATCACCGGTCCCGTAATGCAAGCATCTGACCAAGTGAAGAATGTGTGTGAAGCCTTTAGCTGCTGCTTGTGCTCTAAATACATGAAATAGGTTGGCTTACGGTTCCTCATATTTTATGCGCTGTGAACACTTTCATGTCTATATAGAAATATGTCGAAATAGAATAGCCGCATTTTCGGAGAGAGACCGTATTTTTGAACGCTTCTGATATAATTCAAAACTGATCTGTCATGAAAGAATATCTGCGTCGGCTATTTTTGTTAAATTGTCTTTATAAACGTAATATTCAAAAGGGCCGTAAGAAAAGACTTTCATTGCAAAACAAGCGAAGTGGCAGAAAGTCACTCACTGTATGGTTTTATCACATATCCGCCGAGGCAGTTGTCCTCTACCTTCCGCTTTACAAATGACCCGCCTTTGTTTATAAACTGTCCAACGTCGCATAGTGTTGCACCTGTTTGTGAAACAGCCGCCTCTGCCGTAATCTGATAAGGCTCATACATATATCCTGTGGTCCGGATTTTCCAGCCGTAAAGTGTAAGCGAATTTCCTATCTCTTAACGGTCTCTTGCACGCCGTTAGAGATAAAAGCACATATAAAGCATTCCGTATTCAAACTACATACTTCTACACGCCAACTAACGCGTGATAAAGTAGTTGTTCACAAGCAGACATTGTTTCTGGCGATGCATGTGTATCGGAAAGTTGTGCGTGACTTTTACAGGTTGAATCATTGCATAATACGTGGATTTGATTTAAGGGCCAGTTATATATCGGTAGATGCAACTGCACTGTTATTGATGAAAGGTTGGTCTGTTTCTGCCTTCCCAGAAGCGCACAATATTGTAATCTAATTGTGGTCCACCCC